CCTCCCTGTCAGGTATTCTCTGATCCATTGCAGTGCCCTTCCTGTTATATGCGCCTGATGCTCTAGCTTCTGCACTAATCTCTTGTGAGGAACTGTGTCAAAGGCCTTCTTGCAGTCCAAGAAGATGCAATCAACCCACCCCTCTCTCTCTTGTCTTACTTCTGTTATTTTATCATAAAACTCCAGAAGGTTTGTGTGAAGGTTTTGTGTGTGTGTGTGTGTGTGTGTGTGTGTGTGTGTGTGTGTGTGTGTGTGTGTGTGTGTGTGTGTGTGTGTGTGTGTGTGTGTGTGTGTGTGTGTGTGTGTGTGTTTGTTAATATGTGATCAATAAGAACATTTTAATGGAGGAACACTGCGGAAGGCCTACTGGCCCATACAAGGCAAGTCCTTAATATCACATTGTGTTACTGTGCTTCACGTATCATTCACCTCGTCGAGTTTCACGGTTTTAGAGCAACAATGTTTGTAAGCTGAGTCATGACAATGGTTCAGGATGGACCAAAACGTCGCCGACGTTTTGACTTTCTTTTATCATACGAAATCCATGAATTATTTCCGCTGGTTTTATATCGTGGGTGTTAACCTTCCAAAAGTGATTTTCTATTGTTACTTTTCTTGACTGTCAGTAACTTGCCAGTGTTAATCTTGTATAATTCTTGTGAGTATCTTGTATGTTGGTATCATGTCTCCCCCTCTCCTTTGTTCTGCTGTTGAAGTTCAGCTCACATTATCTCAGTAATTTTAGATTCTTCGTCTCGTATTTGGCTATAATTCTTCAGACCTTCTCAAATTTCGTTTCCACTTCTGAATTCACATTTCAAGTCAGCCTCACACCACCTCTCTTCTCAGCTCGTTCCACTTTTACACTAATCTTATGTGTCTTTGCCACAGTTAGGTGTTCAGCTTCCATCTGTCCTCTTGCCCTCGTCCTTCCCAAGTAAAAAAAAAAAATAGTCTTTTCTAGCCTGTCGAAGGTTGGAAGTAGTTTGTAGGTCATGACTTCCTCTCTTGAGTTGTGAATCACTACAATCTTTATAATTCTAAAATGTTTTTATTGTCTGTGGTCCGCTAGAGTTTTGAGTTCTGACTTGTACAGTCCAGTCTCGAAGCGTTTCTGCCTCTGCTCAAAGACCTTGTCCCTCAGGTGATCAATGTGATGAGGAGGCTTGTTACACGGAGTCGCTGGTATCTAGACACTTCCACAAGACGCGGCCCTCAATAGTCAGGTAACTCCTGTGCAACTATTTACTGTCAGGTGAGCAGGGCCAGCAGATGTCAGAAGACTTACCCATTCGTCCAGCCCAACACAATATGGTTCACTGGTCTTTTGAGCTGTGGTATAAATGCTGTACCACTGAGCTGAAAATATATTAAAACTCTCTCTATCTCTCTCTCTCTCTCTCTAGAGAGAGAGAGAGAGAGAGAGAGAGAGATTTAAAAACCAAGTATCGATAAAATGTAAAACAATCTAGCATAAACACAATCTTACCCTGTATTACACAGTAATGGGATTAACAAGAAACTACTCGTGGTAAAATAATGTACAACAACTGTGTTTTCCGTAAGGAAAAGAGGGAGTTCGGAATATCCCTTTGTTAACTCACTTTACTGCGCCATGGTTGGCCCTGAACAAAACAATACATTGGCGTGTTGGAAAATTACAGGCTGGACTTGACTGGTTTACTGACGCCATTAAATGGACGCCATTCAGTGGCGCAGCGCGCCAGTATTCAAAGTCTGGTGGGAAGTGACGTCAACGGTGGACGTTGATGGCGGCCGGGGACTTCCTGTTGTCCAGCCTCACCCCTTGCTGTCTTGAAGCAAGGGACTTCCTGTTGTCCAGCTTCACCCCAGTTATCTTGGTGCCGGGGACTTCCTGTTGTCCAGCTTCACCCCAGTTATCTTGGTGCCGGGGACTTCCTGTTGTCCAGCTTCACCCCAGTTATCTTGGTGCCGGGGACTTCCTGTTATTCATCCTCACTTCTGCTATCCTGCGGGTGAGCGTGGGAAAAAGACAGATAACAAAAGACCAAATAGTCTAATCGTGGCTACCTGCTGAGGACTAACTTAAGTCAGGCTGCTTCTACTCCCTAAAAGGTTGCAACAAGACTATTGTAGCAGAAGATTCTCCCACCTCACACTGAGGAGGTCGTCCTCGTCGAGGTTTCGGAAAGTTTCCCAACCCCGGCCCTTGCAAACTGAGGTCGTCCTCGCTGCCGGCTTAGTAAGATCGTTAGTAAAGACCTGGTGGTCTCACTGCCTGCCTGTTAAGATCGTAAGTGAAGACCTAGTGTATATGTACCAAATAGTTGGAAGATGGCTAATGTAGTCACGATATTTAAGAGCCAGTGAGGGTCACACCGACCCACTGACTAGTATTATTGAAATTGATCCTGTCTTATGTGAAGAAGATTGTCAGAAGAAGGATATTATTGCACCTTTAGAGTAGTAAGTTTCATATTGAAAACTGATGCAGTTTCAGGGACAAGCTGTTTTAAGCACTCACTGGTATTCCATGCCAGAATTACTGAGATAAAGCAAGTGAGACAAGTGAGTAGACAGCATCTTCCCGAGTTATATTAACAGGTTTAGCATGACACAGTTCCCTCAACAAGCGACTGATCCACAAGCTCAATCAGACTATGAAAGGCAGAGGTAAGAATGGTGGAGAAAGTGTCGATATGTGTAATGAAGGTCACTAGTGTCCATAATGATTGCACGACCTGACAAAGGGGATCAAATCCCATGTTTCTATTTGAGGACCGATATTATGACGCTGTAAAGAATACAAACGGTGACGAGAATTTACAGGCCCACTAGCAGGACAGATCGAGAGGCTAGCTTGTGAATTCTTGCCTCCGGTTCGATCCTCTGTAATCCATGAAAAAATGCTGTTCTTTATTACAGTTTTCTTCAGTTACACACACAGATACACAGACACAGTGAACAACATACCAAATGAGGTTGAGTCACAAGTAACCGTTTTTTCTGGTAATTTAAAATTAGAGAAAATAAAAACAGATAAGGATAGGAATAGACAACAGATGGTCAGATTGCTTGAAGTTGACTAGCAAATGCAACGTTATGAAGATTGGGAAAGGGTCAGAAGACCTGACGAGGAGTAGACTCGGGGTAAAGAGGCTGCAGACCTAACCTAGAGAAACAAAACTTACTGTTGCGTATATCATCAGAGGCTGACGTCAATAAAATAACTATTGAAAGAAATGCTCACCTGACGAATCTGTGAGTGGCCTTTAAAAATCTCAACAAAGAGGTAACTCATACCCTTTATGAAATATATGTCGGGCTCATACTTGCTCATACCTGTGAGCTTCATCAAGCCCAGCCTTCTGCTAAACGTTGTTTGAGAATAGATTCTCTGCTACCGGCGTCTTCATTGTCACTTGTCAGCTTTTGTTATTGTATGCAGTCAATATTATTTTCATAGCTTCTACCACTCTGACTACCCCGCCCACTCTGACTACCCCGCCCACTCTTAGTACCCCCCGCCCCTCTGACTACCCCCCCCGCCCGTTCTGACTACCCCGCCCACTCTTGTAACCCGCCCACTCTGATACCCCGCCATCATGACTACCCCGCCACTCTGACTACCCCGCCCACTCTTAGTAACCCGCCCACTCTGAACTAGCCCCGCCAACATTCTTATACACGCCACTTCCTCTGATACCCGCCCACTCTGACTACCTCCCGCGCACTCTAGTAACCGCGGCGGCACTCTGGTAGCCGCGCCCACTCGTTAGGGAAGCCGCCCACTCTGAACTACCCGCCCAGTCTTTGTAACCGCCCACTCTGATGACTCGCCCACTCTGAGTACTGCCGGCCAATAGTGCACCCTAGCCCACTCTAAGTGACGTCCCACTCTGACTACCCGGCCATCTTGAACGTGCAACCGCCCACTCGGCTGGACCCTCGACCCACTCTGATACCCGCTACTTGAGTGACCCGCCACTCTTAGGAACCCGGCCATGGAGCTGGAGCCGCACCACTCTGACTACCTCGCCCATCTACTGAGCCCGCCCATCTGATTAGCCCGGCCTACTGCTGACTACCACTCGCCCACTCGTGACTGACCCGACGCTACTCTGACTACCTCGGCCCACTCTGACATACCCGCCCACGCTGACTACCCCGCCTACTCTGACTACCTCGGTCACTCTGATCTACCCCGCCCACTCTGGATACTCCGCCTACTCTGACTACCTGCCCGTCTGATCCCGCGCACTCTGGACTGCCCGCCCACTCTGACTACCCCGCCCATCTGACTACATCGCCCACTGATACCTCGCCCCTCTGACTACTCCGCCACTCTAGTACACCGCCACTCTGTAGTACACACTCACAATAAGGCTAGCAGGAGGATGGGTCACTGTGTTGGCGCACCTTGACTGGGTCCCACTGTGGTATGGTCCACCTATACTGGCCCACTGTGTTGGCCCACCGTTACTGGTCCACCTTATGGGTCCACTGTGTTGGTCCACGTGTAGCTGGTCCACTGTGTTGGTCCACCTTGCTGGTCCAGCACGGTGAACAAGCCCCAAAATGCAATGCAGAAGTGTCATAAAGTTGGCCTAATAATCCCTATCCATTTCGGCAGCAGATAGGAGCGGTGACGATATTATGGTGGGGAGGGGGGTGGGGAAGGTGGGGAAGGTGGGGGAAGGTGGGGAGGTGGGGGGTGGGGAAGGTGGGGAAGGTGGGGAAGGTGGGGAAGGTGGGAAGGTGGGGAGGGTGGGGAAGGTGGGGAAGGTGGGGAGGGTGGGGGAGGGTGGGGAAGGTGGGGAGGGTGGGGAGGTGGGAGGTGGGAGGTGGGGGGTGGGGGGGGAGGGGGAAAGGGGGGGGGGGGGGAGGGGGGGGGAAGGTGGGGGGGGGGAAGGGGGGGGGGTGGGGAGGGGGGGGGTGGGGGGTGGGGGGGGGAGGGGGAAAAAGGTGGGGAGGGGGGGGAAAGGGGGAGGGGAAAGGTGGGAGGGTGGGGAGGGGGGGGGGGGTGGGGGGGGATGGGGAAAGGGGGAGGGGGGGGGGGGAGGGTGGGGTGGGGGGTGGGGAGGGTGGGGGGGGTGGGGGGGGGTGGGGGGTGGGGGGGTGGGGGGTAGGGGGTAGGTGGGAGGGGGGGAGGGTGGGGGGGGTGGGGGGGGGGGGGGGGGGGGGTTTGGGGGAGGGGGGGTTTTGGGGGGCGGGGGGGGGGGGGGGGGGTGGGGGGGGTGGGGGGGTGGGAAAAGGGGGGGGTGGGGGGGGTGGGGGTGGGGGGGGGGTAAGGGGGGGGTGGGGGGGGGGGGGGAGGGGGGGGGGGGGGGGGGGTGGGGGGGGGGGGGGGGGGGGGGGTGGGGGGGTGGGGGGGGGGGGTGGGGGGTGGGGGGGGGGGTGGGGGGGGGGGGTTGGGGGGGGGGGGGAAAGGTGGGGGGGGTATGGGGGGGTGGGGTGGGGGGGGGGGGAGGGGGGGGGGGGGGGAGGTATGGTGGGGGGGTGGGGTGGGGGTGGGGGGGGGGGGGGGGTTTGGGGGGGTGGGGTGGGGGGGGGGGGGGGGGGGGGGGGGTGGGGGGTGGGGGGGGTGGGGGGAGGGGGGGAGGGTGGGGGGGGTTTGGAGGAGGGGGTGGGGGGGGGGGTGGGGAGGGGGGGGGGGGGGTGGGGGGGTGGAGGGGGGGGGTGGGGGGGGGGGGGGGGGGGGTGGGGAAGGTGGGGAGGGGGAGGTGGGGAGGGGGGGGGAAGGGGGGGGGGGGGAAAGGTGGGAGGGGGGGGGGGGGGGGAAGGGGGGGGGGGGGGGGTGGGGAGGATGGGGAAAGTAGGGGGGGGAAAGGGGGGGAGGGTTGGGGGGGGGAGGGGGGAGGGTGGGAAGGGGGGGGGTGGAGGTGGGGGCGGGGGGAAGGTAGGGGGGTGGAGGTGGGGGGGGGGGGAAGGTTTGGGGATGGGGAAGGTGGGGGGGTGGGGGGGGGGGTGGGGTGGGGAGGGGGGGGAGGGTGGGGTGGGGGGGGGGGAGGGGGAGGGGGGAGGGGGGGAAGGTGGGGATATTTTTTGGGGGGGGGAAATTTGGGGGGTGGGGAAGGGGGGGAAATATAATTTTTATTTTTTTTTTTTTAAATTAATTTATTTTTTATTTTAATTTTTTTTAAATTTTATTTTATAAAAAAAAACTTTTTTTTTTTTAAAAAAATTTAATTTTAAAAGGGGGAGGGTGGAGGGGGGGAGGGGGGGGGAAGGGTTTTGGAGGGGGGAAAGGTGGGGGGGGGGGGGGGGGGGGGTGGGGTGGGGGAGGGGGGGGGGTGGGGAGGGTGGGGGGGGGGAGGGGGGGGAGGGGGGGGTGGGGGGGGGGGGGGGGTGGGGGGGTGGTGGGGGGGGGGGGGAAAAGGTGGGGGGTGGGGGGGGGGGGTGGGGTGGGGGGGGAAGGGGGGGGGGTGGGGGGGTGGGGGGGTGGGGGAGGGGGGGAAAAGGGGGGAGGGGGGTGGGGGGGTTGGGGGGGTTTGGAGGGGGGGGGGTGGGGGGTGGGGAGGGGGGGGTGGGGGGGGGGGGGGAAAGGGGGGAGGGGGGGAAGGGGGGGGGGGGGGGGGTGGGGGGTGGGGGGGTGGGGGGGGGTGGGGAAAAGGGGGGGGGTGGGGTGGGGAGGGGGGGGAAAGGTGGTAAAGGGGGGTGGGGAGGGGGGGGGGGTTGGGAAGGGGGGGGGGAGGGTGGGGGGTGGGGGGGGGAGGGGGAAAAGGGGGGGAAGTGAAGGGGGGGAAAGGTTTGGGAGGGTGGAGGGGGGAGGGGGGGGGTGGGGAGGGTGGAGGGGGGAGGGGGGGGGGTGGGAGGGGGAGGGGGGGGGGGGGGTGGGGGGTTTGGGGTGGGGGGGGGGGGGGAGGGTGGGGGTGGGGGGGTGGGGGGGGGGGTGGGGGTTGGGGGGGGGTGGGGGGGGAGGGTGGGGGGGGGGGGGAGGGGGGGGGAGGGGGGAAAGGTGGGGAGGGTGGAGGTGGGGAGGGTGGGGGGGGGGGGAAGGTGGGGGGGGGGGGGGGGTTTGGGGGGGTGGGGAGGTGGGGGGGTGGGGAGGGTGGGGGTGGGGGGGGTGGGTGGGAGGATGGGAGGGTGGGGGGGGGGGGGGGGGGGAAGGGGGGGGGGGGTGGGGTGGGGAGGGGGGGGAAAGGTGGTGGGTGGGGGGGTGGGGGGGGGGGGGGGGGGGGGGGTGGGGAGGGGGGGGGTGGGGAGGATGGGAAGGGGGGGGTGGGTTGGGGGTGGGGAGGTGGGGAGGGGGGGGGGGTGGGTGGGGGGGGGGAAGGTGGGGAGGTTGGAGGTGGGGGGGGGGGGGAAAGGTGGGGAGGGTGGGAGGGGGGAAGGGGGGAGGGGGGGGGAGGTGGGAGGGGGGAGGGGGGGAAGGTGGGGGGGTGGGGAAGGCGGGGGGGGTGGGAAGGTGGGGGGGTGGGGGGGGTGGGGAAGGTAGGGGGGTGGGGAAGGTGGGGGGGGAGGGTGGGGTGGGGGGGGGGAAGGGGGGAGGGGGGGGGAAAGGGTGGGGAGGGGGGGGGGGGGGAGGGGGGGGAAGGTGGGGGGAGGGGGAGGGTGGGGGGGGGGGGGGGGGTGGGGGGGGGGAGGGGGGGAAAGGGTGGGAGGGTGGGGAAGGTGGGGGGGGGGTGGAGGTGGGAGGGGGGGGGGGAAGGTGGGGAGGTGGGGAAGGTGGGGGGGTGGGGGTGGGGGGGGGGGGAAGGTGGGAGGGGGGGGTGGGGGGGTGGGGAAGGGGGGAGGGGGGGGAGGGGGGGAGGGGGGGGAAAGGTGGGGGGGGGGGGGGGGGGGGGAAATGGAGGTGGGGGGGTGGGGGGGTGGAGGTGGGGAGGGTGGGAAGGTGGGGAGGGGGGGAGGGGGGGAGGGGGAGGTGGGGATGGTGGGGAAGGTGGGGGTGGGGTGGGGGGAAGGTGGGGAGGGTGAGGTGGGGAGGGAAAAATTTTTTTTTTTTTTAATTTTTAAAAATAATTTTTTAAAATTTTTTTTTTAAAAAAAAAAACAAAAAAAAAAAAAAAAAAAAAATGGGAGGGGGGAAGGGGGTTGGGGGGGGGAAAAGGGGGTGGGGGGGGGAAGGGTTTGGGGGAGGAAGGGGGGGGATGGGGGAAAAAAGGGTTTTGGAAGGGGGGGGGAAAAAATTTTTTTTTTGGGGGGGGGGTTTTAAAATAAAGGTTTTTTAAAATTTTTTTTTTTAAAATTTAATGGAGGGGGGAGGGGGGGAAGGGGGGATGGGGGGGGGAAGGGGGGGGGGGGGGGAAGGTGGGGGGGGGGGGGAGGGTGGGGAAGGGGGGGGGGGTGGGGGGGGAGGGGGGGGAAGGCGGGGGGTGGGGGGGGGGAAGGGTGGGGAGGGTGGGGAAGGGGGGGAGGGGGGGGAAAGGGGGGGGGAGGTGGGGGGAGGAGGGTGGGGAAAGGTGGGGGGGGGGGGGAAGGGGGGGAGGGGGAGGTGGGGAGGGTGGGAAGGTGAGGGGGGTGGAGGGGGAGGGTGGGGAAGGCGGGGAGGGGGGGAAAGGTGGGGAGGGTGGTGAGGGTGGGGGAAGGTGGGGAGGGCGGGAGGATGGAGGGGGGAGTGTAGGAAGGTGGGGAGGGTGGAGGTGGGGGGGTGGGGAAGGTGGGGAGGGTGGAGGGGGGGGGTGGAGGTGGGGAGGGTGGAGGTGGGGATGGTGGGGAAGGTGGGGTGGGGGGGGGGAAGGTGGGGAGGGGGGGGGTGGGGGGGTTTGGGGGTGGGGTGGGGAGGGTGGGGAAGGGGGGAGGGTGGAAGTGGGGAGGGTGGGGAAGGGGGGGGGTGGGGGGGGGGAAGATGGGGAGGAGGGGGAAGGTGGGGAGGGTGGAGGTGGGGGGGTGGGAGAGGATGGGGGAAAAGGGGGGGAGGGTGGGAGAGGTGGGGAGGGGGGGAGAGTGGGGGTTTGGAGAAGGGGGGAAAGGTGGGAAGGAGGGGGGAAGGGGGGGGGAGGTGGGGAAGGGGGAAGGGTGGGGGGGGGAGGAAAGGGAAGGTGGAGCGGGTGGGAAGAGGGGAGGATGGAAGTGAGGAGGGGTGGGTAAGGGTGGGGGGGATTGGAGGGGGGAGGATGGGAAGGGGGGGAGGAGGAAAATAGGGAGAGGGTGGGGAAGGTGGGGAAGAGGGGGAAAAGGGGGGGGATGGGGAGGTGGGGAGGGGGGAAAGGTGGGGAGGATGGGGAAGGTAGGGAGGGTGGGGAAGGTGGGGAGGGTGGGGAAAGTGGGGAGGATGGGGAAGGTGGGGAGGGTGGAGAAGATGGAGAGGGTGATGAAGGTGGAGAAGGTGGGGAGGGATGGGGAAGGTGGGGAGAATGGGGAAGGTGGGGAGGATGGGGAGGGAGGGAGGGATAGGTGGGGAGGGAGGGGAAGTCGGGGAGGGAGGGGAAGGCGGAGAGGAGGGGAGGTGTGTGATTCCTCCCCACCACCCTCCTTCACATTCCTCCCTCACAACCCCTCCCTCACACCTCCCTCACTCTCCTCTCAACAGCTCCCCAACATTACTTTCCCATACCCCCTCCGTTTCACGACTTTCCCCACAATTCTACCTGCCTCTTTACCCCCCCTATCACTCCCTCCCCTAAAAAAATCCCCATACCTCTCACTGCCCCCTCCCCACCTCTTCCCTACCCAGTGCATGACCAGTTCAATGAAAAGGGAATGGAAGAGAAGATAGATGTGAAGGGAGAACAGGCGAGAGGAAGAAAGAGAAGAGAGGGGAGGAAGTAGTGTTGGGGAGAGGGAAGAGGGAGAGAGGGAGAGAGGGGTGGGGAGAGGGAGAGAGGGGTGGGGAGAGGGAGAGAGGGAGAGAGGGGTGGGGAGAGGGAGAGAGGGAGAGAGGGGTGGGGAGAGGGAGAGAGGGGTGGGGAGAGGGAGAGAGGGAGAGAGGGGGTGGGGAGAGGGAGAGAGGGAGAGAGGGGTGGGGGAGAGGGAGAGAGGGAGAGAGGGGTGGGGAGAGGGAGAGAGGGAGAGAGGGAGAGAGGGGTGGGGAGAGGGAGAGAGGGAGAGAGGGGTGGGGAGAGGGGACGAGATGGGAGAATATTATTCCATAGTGTCACAATCACACAGCAAACAAACACATTGTCATGAGAACTGGAAGCTGTGACAAGTCGTGAGGAAATAACACTAGTGGTGTACGTGTTCACACACACACACACACACACACACACACACACACACACACACATGACGGAACGACATGACGGAAGGAATAAACTCCGAGGTGTCACTGTTTGCAGATGACGTGAAGTTGATGAGAAGAGTTCCTTCGATCGAAGACCAGGCAGAACTACAAAGGGATCTGGACAGGCTGCAGACCTGGTCCAGCAACTGGCTCCTGGAGTTCAATCCCACCAAGTGCAAAGTCATGAGGATTGGGGAAGGGCAAAGAAGACCGCAGATGGAGTACAGTCTAGGGGGTCAGAGACTACAAACATCACTCAAGGAAAAAGATCTTGGGGTGAGTATAACACCAGGCACATCTCCTGAAGCGCACATCAACCAAATAACTGCTGCAGCATATGGGCGCCTGGCAAACCTCAGAACAGCATTCCGACATCTTAATAAGGAATCGTTCAGGACCCTGTACACCGTGTACGTTAGGCCCATATTGGAGTATGCGGCACCAGTTTGGAACCCACACCTAGCCAAGCATGTAAAGAAACTAGAGAAAGTGCAAAGGTTTGCCACAAGACTAGTCCCAGAGCTAAGAGGTATGCCCTATGAGGAGAGGTTAAGGGAAATCAACCTGACGACACTGGAGGACAGGAGAGATAGGGGGGACATGATAACGACTTACAAAATACTGAGAGGAATTGACAAGGTGGACAAAGACAGGATGTTCCAGAGACTGGACACAGTAACAAGGGGACACAGTTGGAAGTTGAAGACACAGATGAATCAAAGGGATGTTAGGAAGTATTTCTTCAGCCACAGAGTAGTCAGGAAGTGGAATAGTTTGGGAAGCGATGTAGTGGAGTCAGGATCCATACATAGCTTTAAGCAGAGGTACGATAAAGCTCATGGTTCAGGGAGAGTGACCTAGTAGCGACCAGTGAAGAGGCGGGGCCAGGAGCTTGGACTCGACCCCCGCAACCTCAACTAGGTGAGTACAACTAGGTGAGTACACACACACACACACAAACACACAAGTTACGATAAGACCCTTGAAGCGGACTTAGTAGCGACCAGTGAAGAGGCGGCGCCATGAGCTGTGAATCGACCCCTACAACCACATATAGGTGAGTACATATACGTGAACAAACATACACACACACACACACACACACACACACACACACACACACACACACACACACACACACACACACACACGGGGCCAGGAGCTCGGACTCGACCCCCGCAACCTCAACTAGGTGAGTACACACACACACCAATTCGCGAACGAGTGAAATTATTTACAAAAAAATGATCTCAGAGCAAAACAGGGCCTGAACTTGCGTTCCCTGGATTAGAGAACACACAACCCAGAGCTGCCATGAACACCAGCCTTATGTTCCACTTGTTCCATCTCCTGCCTTATGCACTCTACGTTTATTCGAATTCGTGCATCTGTTTATAATATTTTAGTCATAATACCAAATCTCGTAGATTTTACTGTGCTTTTCGTTTTTATTATTATTAATACATCAGCCGATTCCCACCAAGGCAGGGTGACCCGAAAAAGAAAAGCTTTCAGCATCATTCACTCCATCACTGTCTTGCCAGAGGAGTGCTTTACACTACAGTTATAAAATTGCAACATTAACACCCCTCCTTCAGAGTGCAGACACTGTACTTCCCATCTCCAGGACTCAAGTCCGGCCTGCCGGTTTCCCTGAATCCCTTCATAAATGTTACTTTGATCACACTCCAACAGCACGTCAAGTATTAAAAACCATTTGTCTCTATTCACTCCTATCAAACACGCTCATGCACGCTTGCTGGAAGTCCAAGCCCCTCGAACACAAAACCTCCTTTACCCCCTCCCTCCAACCTTTCCTAGGCCGACCCCTACCCCGCCTTCCCTCCACTACAGATTTATACACTCTCGAAGTCATTCTGTTTTGTTCCATTCTCTCTAAATGTCCGAATCACCTCAACAACCCCTCCTCAGCCCTCTGGATAATAGTTTTGGTAATCCACACCTCCTAATTTCCGAACTACGAATTCTCTGCATTATATTCACATCACACATTGCCCTCAGACATGACATCTCCACTGCCTCCAGACTTCTCCTCATTGCAATTTTCATCACCCATGCTTCACACCCATACAAGAGTGTTGGTACAACTATACTCTCATACATTCCCCTTTTTGCTTCCACGGACAAAGT